AAGAGAGATTAAAAAGCATTTACAGCTTACACAGTGCAGTTTCCTAAAATAAGGAAATAAATATATTTATTATGTTATATTATTACAGCAGAGTGGCAGGCTAATGGTTGGACTTAATGATCTCAGAAGTCTCCTCCAACCCTGATGATTCTATTCTATTATGAAAAATGAAAGAATTACACTTACCACATCATAGATTCCTAATGAGAATAAATCTACAGCACATGCACTTCATCTAAATTGAGGTCACCAGCCCATAAGATATGCTGGCTAGCCTGCCCCTGAGGTGACAGTGAGCTAATACCATCTCCCAGGCCAGGGCTTTCCAGGCTGAATCACTACAGGTTCTGCTTCTGTTCCCTTCAAGTCCATGGCAAGATTCAGACTTAATTCCACAGTAAAACTAAGTCTCTATCTCTAGATCCATCCACTGGTACTCACTGGAAAATGCCAAACTGTGCAACTAATCTCTTTTAAAATGAAGAAACTATGTGGAACTGTTGTGTGTACATTTGCCTATTCGTATTTATTTCACTATGGACATGCTCACAATGAATAAATACAGATGCAGGTGGATAAAATAAAATAGTGGGGGAAAACCAGGTATCTCTGCACTTACTCTGCACAGCACTTAAAGTTGCCGCCGGTGTTAAGACTCGGTTTACTGGAGGCGAATGTCCCACACAGCCAGATGTGCTGCTCCTCTCTTTTTGCTCAAGCAGTGCAGCAGATAAGGAACTGTTCTCCGGTACAGAAATACAAGATAGCATACTTCCATCTATCTGTTCAGACATAACCAAACTCTCTTTGATTTTCTGATCTCGAGCTAGTTCTTGCTTCTTAAGTTGATCCTCGAAGAATTGAAACTGTTCTGATTCAAGCTGCTGTTGCCGCATATGTGCAATTCGTTTCTTCTCTGCCTCTATTAGCTTTTGATGCTCTAATTTCTTCAGAATTTCAGTTTTACGTTTGTTCTGAAACATATGCAATATAGTGACAGTCTCAGAACACTAAGAAACCTACAAAAAATGAAAGGAAAGAAGCAATCTAACAGTTTAATAAAACCATCAAATCCTGTCATAAAAAATGAAGTCATTTGGAACCTGTTTGCTGAACTGGATACTATATCCCCAAAGTTACTAGGGAAAAGATATGTGTTTATGGGAGGAAAAGAAAAAGATGTGTTTTCTCAGATGCTCTTTCCCAGACAAGTTTGTAAACTACAGAACCTGTTTTCAGTGACTTCAGTACACAAGAAGCAAGTGTTTACAGATAGAGACCCAATACAAACTCGAACACATTTGGAGCCAAGGGACCTTTTCCACATACTGATGTAAGTATCAACTGTATCCTGTTTATAAAACAGAATCAGAGTGTACCTGAGACCTATTTGCATATTTGTAGACAGTTATTAAGTAAATTTCAGAGGACACATATTTCCAAGCACACACTTGTATTACTTATTTTCAAATGACCAGCTGATTCCGAAGAAGAAATGAAAAGTCATCTAAGCAGCCCAGGAAATTATCAGGTTCTTCTAAAACTAGCATTTTACCGCTTAATTTTTAAGAAGTTTTGTATGACAGGAAAATATTAATGCCAACAATTATTTAATAACCACATCAAACTTACTTTGTTTTGCATGTATTCTTGATATTCTAAGTTATATTTTTTTAAAAGATCTCTTTTCAATTCATCTGTCCGTGGAAATGCAACCTCCTTCAGTTTCTTTGGGGTGGGATGGGGGAGAAAGATAGGTAAGTTTACTTTTCACTTTTTAAAACAACCACCTGGAAAACAAACTCAGCTGTAATACAGATTAAAAAGAATACAAAATAGAAATAAAACCCAAACCCTGCTCTTCTCCCTGGAAAAAAAAAAACAAACCAGGAAATACACACTAAATCATCAGCTTGTAAAAGTTCTATCATATTGTAATTTCAATAAAGATATGTTAATTTATATTAGTGAAGACTGTGGCATGGCTACTTCTTATCTCAAAGATGTGTCCTTTTACTAGCGATGTATTATCTCTATTTTGTTTAATCGATGTGTGATGACTAATGTTTTTGCTGTAGGTGTAATTTATAAAGAAAGCTAAATCCAACTTTCCAAGTTTCAGGTAGGATCATTGCATTTTTCTCTTGAACTTCCTGGTCAGAAATATTTCTGAAAATGCCCATTTCCAAGTGGGAAAAAAAATGTTTCTTTGAAGAAATAGCTGTACCTGTAGCTTTCTGTGACAGCCCTGGCAGACAAAACCAACATAATTTATAAAACAAAACCATTGCCCAATGTTTTCTACTGATGCAAAGGCTACTACAAAGAAATTCAGAAGCTGTAGGCAAGGGAGGGCAAGAGCCTGTGCTTAATCCTACCGAGGGCCGTTGGAGGAAACATGCTGGATGCCATTTCTCAACAGGAATGATTTCCTAGATTTGGGCCACAGTTGAAACTTTGGCATGAAGTGTTCTGGCTTTGATTATAACATTATTCAGTTTTAACAGTAGAGAAAGCATGCAAATGTGGGAGCATGAAGCAAGAGATGCTCGTGGTCTTTCTAGCAATTCTCACTGAGCAGTTTCAGGTGTTTTAAACTCAGTATAAGGCTATACTTGAAATTTCTTTTCTAGAAGGTAAAAAACCAAAGTAAAATTATTTTGTATAGAAGTGTACGAAAAAAAACCCTGGTAAAAACTAAGTAAATACATATTTGGTAATACATAAAATTAAAATATACTTTGCATATTTAGCAGGGTATGCAAATGCTGGACAGACACCAGTAATGCAACATATCTCTCTGTTTGCAATAGTCAGTTTGGACCTCTCACATAACTGGGACCAAACTCAAACTAAGTACTGTTAAAATAGTATATTCTTAATACGTAAACTTTCAGAAATAGATGTACCTAGGTTTCCAGTAACCTACCCATTATTCAGAGACTATTCTTGTTCACCTTTTAGACTGATAACTTGATTTCTGGTAATGATCAAGTGATTAAACCAGAATAAAACATGAGTGACTAGAGGAGAAAAGTATCAGAAATTCAGCCGCAGTGGCTGTCATGGGCTATGTGTGCACTGGGAAAAAAGGAGTGCTGGGAAAGAACTGAGAGGTTCTGTACAAAACATTTCTTGAAGGCCAGGAAACCATAACCCTACCTTAATGATATCTTGCTTTTCTGGTACTGCACATTGGTGATAGTCTCGGTGATTGGGCAGCTTTTCTACAAACAACCTAGAAAATGAAACACGTGTGTGTTTGCCTCAGTAGTCAGAGGAACATCCACAATAGCTTTTTGTTGGCAGAAAAATCAGTTTCACATAACTGTAAAACACTGAATTCCAGATGACTTGGAGCAGGTTTCTACACATATGTTTAAACTAGCACACTATTGTACGGATCTGTATGGAACCCATAGCGTAAGGAGGTTATTTTCCACATCTGATATATTTTAGTTTTCATTAGGAGAGGGTTGGGTTAAAAAAAAAAAAAGGACTAACTAGCAGCCATCACCTAAAAATAGCCCTCAAAAGTACTGACTCTAGTCAGTGCTAATAAATACTGTTTCTACTCTCTTTATCGTTAGCCAAATTGCTGAATCTTAAAATGGAATTCATCAATGCAAAGCTGAAACTATCATTAAAGCAGTTATCTTTCCCAGACCAAGCTGCACAGCTAACTGCAATATTGGTAACTAACAGATAAACCATCGTGACACTCAGCTGCAAAGAGTTTGGAATACACAGCACTGCCCAATGTTCATCTCCAGACCCTCTTTTTATAGGGATAGATACATGTATAATCAAGTGGGATAAGAAAGGTTTGATCTAGTTTTCAGAGCATGAGGAAAATAAGGGGGGGAGGCAGGATGTCTCCTAGTATAAAAATTTTCAAATATGCATATTAAAAACAAACCTTTCACAAGTAATAAAACAAACCAGTCAATCCTACAGCAAAACTAGCTAGGTTAAAAGTTTAAATCTGCTACTGATATATTTTTCAGCTGTCTGTTTTGAGAGTTGTAATGAAAAGCTGGCCAGATTTTTTATTTTGGAATGGGGAGAAAAATCATGCAATGAACACATATTGTAGATTTTGCATTTACTCCTGTAAGAAACAATAGATTATACTTCACCTTTTTGGTGGGAAAAAAGTAAAAATGTGGAAAAAAGCCTTTTTTTTTTCATGTTTTATAAGTTCTGTACAATTGTGCAAGTGTGAATCTTTCAGATCAGCATGTGGCATAACAGCTAAAGACTCAGAAATCTTATCTAGGCATTGTTTTTTCAGTCAGATATGGTATTTAACCAACATGCTGATATATACAGAATAATCTGTAGGCAACAGTGCCCAGAGTATGACCAGTAAATTCAAACCTCTGTGTATTAGGTTAATTCATGCCAGTTAATAGATGGATTGGACTACCATAGGGACAGATGAGATGGAATTTTAACAAAGCCTGTGCTTAGCATAAAGATCTCCAGAGAACAATGCTATTCTGCAAGAACACACTGACCAATTTTCTCCTATCTAATGCCCTGTTTTCACTGCAGCTCTCCAGTTTACTCAGAAATATAGATTGTAACAACTACAATTGGTTTCTTACGTTATGAACTTATTATAAAAAACAAAAGCATTCTCCAGGTTTCCTTCCTCCATGTACACTGATGCCATTCGCTCCATCTCTACTCCGGATCTGAAGTAACGGCGTGGAGTGATATCTTCATTGATTGTGATATTGCTGCCAAGTTTGCTTAAGGCACGTACTCTCTCTTCTGGAGTCACTGAGATGTCTGTGTGGTCAGGAATAGCCACTAGCTTTTTCTGAAATAGAACAAAGAGATTAGTGAAGAGAATATTCCGTTTCATTTTCAGTAAGTGATCTCAGTCAGAAAACTCAAGGGAAATCTTCAGCTTGCCTTTTTTCAAATTAGGCACTAGTTTCCTCACCACTAACTACAGTTGAAACATTCTAACACGTTTCTCAAGTGCAAATACATTGTGATTGCAATTACAAATGAAAAGTGATCTTATCCCCTTCCCCAAATCTTCAAGCTACAGAAAGTCCCAGGAAAAAAATATAAGTAAGTAAACCCCTCTAGAAAATACCAAAGGCAACACAAAGTGTGTCCTCTTTAGGATCTCCCACACATGAATTGTACAAGGCTCTGTCTTGAGTTATTGAAATAATTTGACGGAGGCCCTGAGACTCAGACTCCTATTACATGATGTATGGGTTTGACTGCTGGGAATACTTCAGGTAACAAAGAGCAGTAAGTTCCCCAGGTCAGTTCACTTCGAGTCTTCACTTCCAGTTTTAAATGAGGCAGTTAAAGCCTAAGAAGTTAGAACTAACTACTGAAGAAGAAGCATAGATGCTTATTTCTGTCATTACCTTCCTGTTAAGTAGCTAAATAATTGGCTACTGCAAGTGGTTTCCTCTTACTTTGATGAAATTTTTTACTCTTTCTATTCAAAATGTTCACTTCAACTTCTTAAAAACCTGATCACTAAACCCCATAAACCACACATATAGAAATAAAATAAATTCCAACAAAACCATCAGGCAGAACATGGCAGGAATCAGCAGCATGCCAAAAGAAACCCTTGGAGCTGACAGCCAACACGGCTAGGCAGCTCTCTTGCACTGTTTTCTAATTGAAAGAGAAATTGCTCAGCTACTGAAGCATGTCTTTGTAAAACATACCAATGAGCTGACAGTGAATGGTTGTTCCATGTTGTTGTCTGCCTGCAAACCAAGGAGGTTGCTCTTTTCCTCTAAAGTCTCCATCTGACTGCAAAGGGCAGTATCAATCCAGTGCAACCAGATGTCTCAGAGTTTAACAGCCCAAGGGAAACTTGAATAGAGATATGCTGATTGTGGTCATGTACTGGAAAATATAAGATAAGTCATTCAGATTAGAAATATATTCAAATGTCACCTATTTTGCATGCCAGCACCCACTCCTTACTTAACCGACACAGGGCTTCCATACTTAATAATAATAATTTAAAATTTACCAGGCATCTAAAATTTAATTGGGAATGCATGGGGGCTTACAGTGCAGTTGTGAACTAGCTGACCTGTTCTAATGTTACTACAGTGGATTTGAGCATGATATAAAAAAATATTTTTACAGCAACTTAAAAAGAACCCCAACTTTCAAGGATTAAGTGAAAAACTTCAAAGTTCAAAGAGTAATCATAGAATGTTAAGTGGTGGAAATGGACATTAAAGATTATCTAGTCCCAGTCCCCTGCCCTGGGCAGGGACACCTCCCACCAGAACAGGTTGCTCAAGCCTTTAGCCAACCTGGCTTTGAACAGTGCCAGGGCTGGGGCATCCATAACCTCTCCAGGCAACCTGTTCCAGGGTCTTACCACCCTCAAAGTTAAGAATTTCTTCCTAATATCTAACCTAAATTTCCCCTCTTTCAATTTGTACCCATTGCCCCTTGTCCTGTCACTGAGGTTCCTGACTAATCACAGAATCTGTACTTCCTTGTGCATGTTTTGACAAACATATTTATAAACAGTGTGAATTTGGCATCTTTATTTCCTGCTAAGCCTAAAATTAAAATCAAACTTTACACACAAACTTGTCTCAGTAATATAAAGAAGACAAAATACTTCAAACACCATGTGTTCCACCTGCAGAGTTTGCTGATTTCAACAACACTCAAAATACGACGAGCTCTGGTAAGACAACTGATAATAACTGCTCCTCTCACAGCTTTGAACAAGCAAAGACAAATATTTAGATGCTGTGGTTGTCAGAATAAAAACCCAACCCCAAAAACCCCAACACTGAAAGAGGAATGAATTATTTAAATTACAGAGGAAATGTGAATATGAAGTTTCTAATGTGTTTTTTTCAGTTCTGTGCACTCAATCTAAACAGATTTGATCCTGAATGTAGAAGGCACTTTATATGTTACAATAAATATGCTTATGCTTTCGCAAAAGCATAGAGGGGGTTCAGCAAAGATATTTTCTCAGCACACCTCTCTCTAGAGGTCAGAGGACTCTGAGTTAGAGAAAAACAACCCTAATGTGTTTTATCTGGCTGTATTTCTCAAGTATTGATTTTTGTATTTTTGTCTTCCTCAATTTTTTTTCCAAAAACTAACAGTGTCTATCAGATCAGTCTTTCATTTTAACCATTACTGTAACTATTACAGGAGACATAAAATTCATTTAAGTAGTACTCTTTCTTTGAAATAGACAGACTCATCCTGTTTCACTTGTAAAAGCCCTTCCTGGTATAGTCATTCCAACTTATTGAATCAATCTTACTCCAAACCTCCTGATCTCAATTAATATATTATTGCTTGATTTTATACCCATGTTGTTGATTTCAAGATTTTTATTCTCATCATAAGGCAGATCACAGATCTGTGAATTCAGTTTCAAGACCTGCTTTTTGGAAATTAAGGTATTCAAACTGCTTGCACAATTTGTAACAAAAAAAAAAAAAATGGAGCATGGCTTATACACCCAAGAAAGAAACCTTAGTTGTGGTTGCAGTGCTAATGGAAAGAGTTCCCTAAGCAATTTAATTTTATATACATGGAGCTCTGGTGTAAATGATCAGCTTGGCAGGAGAATCTACTCATTGCCAATTCAGAAACTGTAGAAAGGCCCAATGGGACAACAGTAATGAAATATTTTTGCTTTAGCCTACTCCAAGAAACATTCTGCCTTATGGCCAGTTCCACCTGAAACCCTTCTTCACCTGAAGCACTGTAGGTGTGGTATACTGTGAAAGGAGAGGACTCAAAGCTTGGCTAGTGTAGAGCTCCCGTTAGTCTACTGTCCCTGCAGCTCAGACTCTAAGCAGAAATAAAATCTTCAGTGAGAGGCTCTGCATTCACATGCTCTGTGGAGCTCAGGAACAAAACCAAACCAACCAAAAAACAAATCCAAACCAAACCCAAAACAAAATGGAACAAACCCCACAAACAAATAAACAAAACAAAACCAAAAATAAACAAGGAAAATAGAAAAAAAGGAGCTAAAAAGCATATTTTAAAACCATTTATCCATTCACTTATCCAACACTTGTGGATTTTTAATTTTATTTCCCTTAGAGCAACTGGGACATCTACAATAGCTGAATGGAAGGCTGGATTTTGCCCAAGGTATGCATTCAAGCATAACAAACTGCAAAATATTACAGTCATCTGATGTATCAAAAAATATTTTGTTCAAAAGTAAAGGTGCAGAAATGTGTTTCTGTTCGATTTCCTATTTCAGTTAGCAGCTTCTGAGCAAGAACACTGCTTTTCAAGGCTTTCTCCCTGACAGACCTTCTAATGTCTAGTGAGGAAATGGACATTTAAGTGAATGGTCTTGAGATGCTTGACACAGAGGACATGGGTCAAATGCTTCTTTCAACTATTACCACTCCTTGAAGACATTTCAGCCTAGCAGGTAGGCAAACAAAAAAAAATAAGTTAGTGCAGCAAGTGGGAAACACAAGAGCCACTGATTAGTGGTGTGGTTTGGTTTGGTTTTTCTGGGACCAGTATTCATTTCTTTGTTAAAGAAGCTTACAGTATTCCTCAGTCAAATTCTCTTTGAAACTGGCACAGGAAGGCATCATGGAGCCCTCTACTTGCAAACATTTCTCAACTTTGTTGCTTCTAAGAATATTGAAGTTATAAATGTAAGTTATTCCTGTGATTTTTTTTTAACCTAAAGAAGTGTTAATAGCAATATTTCTAAAAAGTGTAATACCAGGGTATTTTAAAGAGAAGACATCTGGTGATAGCAGAAAGTCACACTTCCTCAAAATTCTGTCAGAGCCTGGAAAGGATGAAGAAGCTTTGCAGAGTGCATAAGTCACAGTGCGAAAGCTTAGCAGAAGAACTGCTGCAAACAAAAGAGGAAACTGTCTTTTTAAATTTAGCTTCACGAACACATTAAAAAACAGACACTGTAGATAAAGAAGAAATACTAAGATGAATTTGTATCACTTTTACAAAAATGTCAAATAAGACTCAAATATATTAGACAGGTGCCAGTCTACCTTAAGGGAAAAAACATCCTAAAAAGAACATGGGCTGTCTCATGGCTGCACTCCAATATATTATCCTTAACACGTGGACACGCTGGCAGAATTATGAATAACTAAAATGCAGAACGTTAAGATTTACTGAAAACACCACCACAGGCATGTCTGCCAGCTCCCTGGAAAGCCTCTGTGCATAATGTTCCTCATGGCACAGCTTCACAGTCACCTTCAGCTGGTCAAAGGACACGACACTGCCAAGGGGCTCGTCTCACCCTCACCATACTTCTTTGTACTCTCACTTTGCTGGCTCCAGTGACTTCAAGGCAAATTGTAGCTGATCCAAATTAAAATTAAACGGACTTTTAAAATTAAATACTTCCTTCTCAAACTCAGAATGCAAAGGCAGAGCCATTAAGGCAGCAAAACAGACAGACTTGCCCCCTTCTGGGGCAGTGCTGTCCTAGATTGCTATGAGCTGGCTTTGAAAAGGCACCCTGAGAGCTTGTGTAGTGCCCATGAGAATTCCCTAGGCCTGACAAGTGAGTGTTTGTCTTCTGGAAATATATTCTACAAGAGCAAAGATAAATTCAAATAACCAACCTCTCTGTGTAGCTGACACTAATTATACTCAAATATAAAATACAGTTATGCTAATAAGTGAACTACACTCCAACCACAACCACAGGGGATAAACAGCAATGCTAGCTTGGAGCTGTCTTAGCCGATTAGACTGCAAAGTGCTCTAAATTCTGAGAGCAAAGATGCATTTTTCTGTTTTACTGTTTCAGGAATTCCAGTTAACTTAGACTGACTTAGGTAATGTTTGATTGAGAAGAAATGCCTAGACATTTATTATTCAAATCAAGCTTTTTATAATTACGACTTTTCTGATAGGCATTACCAGAATATAATAATTTAATATCCGTTCAATGGTTGAGAACCATTTCTTGATTTCATTGGTAGTGGCACTCCTCACCAAATCCCATTTCCTCCCCAAAAAGCATTTGTTTTCCTGTGTGATCCATCCTATTATACTATGCATAAATCCATTGTGAAATCCAGATTTATTAAATCAAAAGGCCTGCGGCCACAGGAAATAGAACAAAGTGAGAAAACCAGCATTTTAAATGGAATTGAAAGTCTTTCTTTCTGTGCAGGCATGGTACCAAGTACCAGGGAAGTGAAAATCAGAGAGCAATTTTAACTTAGTGCATGCAAATAGTACAAGAAGATGGAATAAGTATATCAAGACGTATCAAGTGCCTGATGAGCAGGCTAATAAGACAGAGGTGGTATGAGAAGATCTGAAGAATGCATGCACAAACTCTTGTGCTATTCTGAGAGGTACAACATCACAATTCACCACAAATTCTCCAATGCCCTCACAGTTTGCTCCATGCTGGCATTTCAAACAATTGCCAGGATGATACATGTAGAAAAATGAGCCACCCTGACCGTGCTCAGAGCCTGAGAGGCATGATCTCAGTATTCTTCCAAGCTACGTAACTGTGGTGTGAGAGTGAGAGGTGGTACTCATGGCTGCACAGCAAGGCTCATTAGCTCAAGTGCAGTATGAGCTATTTAAGTTACACAGTTTGTGTTTGCAGTGCCTTCACTGGAGCCAGCTCACAGGCTGGGAAGAAGGAGCTTGTATCTCTCTTCATGCCTTGCCATGACAGACTCTGAAATGTCTATTTAGTATGGTATATCCTTCACTGATATAACCAGACTATGTGAGATGACTGTACCAGCAAAGTCAAGGAAGCCAAGGAGGA